GAGGTGTATTATGATAATCATTTTAGTTGTGGAGAGTGATATTCAAAAGCAACTTCTTATGAAAGGAACAATACTTAATCCACGTGGGGAAAGATATTTTTAATCTCCCTGTAGGACTCTATATTTGCAGATACCTTATCAGAAATTTGAAAGTGATTTGGGATGGGGAATTATCTCTAAATTTATACTTGAGAATGTAAATTACATACAAACTAAAGGGACTAAAACTATTTGATCTTTTAATATTTAATTAATGGTTCCCCATGGCCTTTTTATAGCCTGTGTTCTATTGTGAGCAACGAGACTTTAATAAGCAGGTTCAGGGCTTGCCATTGTGTAGCAAGATATCGCTGCTTTCATGACACTAATTTGGCTTTCATACTCTCTCCCTTTCCCTCTTCTCTTGCTGTAGGGTTTCCTGTGTCTTGCTCCCACATTGGGAACAAGTAAATACATTAGTCGTATTGTTACTGCCTGTGTGAGCTTCTTTCTGGTCTAGAAAATAGATATCTCACTGGGCAAAAGGTTTCTTGACTCCCCTCCTTACACTGAAATGTCTTCAAAATTGAAATGGAGATAATTTTTCTTTATGAGAGCAAACCCTTAGCAAAAATGACATAAGATGCATTCTCTCTCCATTTTCAGGGAAAGACAAAAATTGGACTTTGTAAATCATATCTGATGTAGAGCTGATTTTCTTACCTTATGTGTTCATTGAAAAGTGATTCCTGTCTGGCCATGAGAGAAATCTGAGTGTCTGAGTCCCTAGGAGCATTCTTTTCTATGCCACCCAGTCCTCTTACTGTCTACCTAAGGAGCTCATCTGATGGGGAAAATTAGCAGGATGTGGGTATTGTTTGTGTGACAGCTGGCCCCAGGCTAGTCTAGCTCAAGGAATGCAAGAAAACATTCACATATGTCTTTGAAATTTCCTCAGTAGGTTTGCTTTGAATGAAACTATTCAGTGCTAGACTGTAAGAGACAATATTGCCCATTATTCTGTGTGAGACGATGTGTACATATTATTCCATCATATTTTTTAATTTGTCTTAGGCTGTGAAGAGTCTCAAAAGTAATTGTTCAGTTGCAGTAACCATTTGATCCCCCAAAGTTGGTGTGACTATTTCCCTTCTGTTTAATATTAGCAGTGGAACCTGGCCCCTGTCTGTTTGAAGGCATTTTTTTTTTTTTTTTTGGTGGCTAGTCAGTACAGGGATCAGCACCACGCTCTAATCAACTGAGCTAACGGGCCAGCCTAAATTTTTTTATATACAGTGTTTCATGGCCTCTCCCAGTAACTCTGTTGCAATTATTATCATGTCCATCTAACAAATAAGTAAATCAATGTATAGAATGACGAGATGACTTACCAAGGATCCTACAGCCATGGTACAGCTGTAATCTCAGAAAGGCTGAGATTTAAACCTTGATGTTCCAGATAAAAGTCAAAGTGTTTACACGCTTTATTTTACTTTATTTTTTACCCTAAATGCTGAGGTTAATTTATTATGGTAAACAATAATATAATGGAGGAGACTAAAATTCTCTATTGGGGTGCACTTTCCTCGTATGTTCTTTAGGGGCTTGCCCTATATTCCTACTGAAGGTAAGAACAGCAAAGAGAGAGAACATTGACAGAACTTCAGAGGCTACCAACCCATGCTATAAAGAACACACTTTGTTTTTAGCATTTCACTTTTGAAAAGGTGTACAATAAAACATCACCTCCTTCCTTTGTTTCTATCACATTCCTTCCCCACATACAGGGAAACACTGTTAATAGTTTTTAAATATCCTTCTAGGTTACTTTAGGTATTTACAAGCAAACACAAATATTTACTCTTGTCTTCTACTTTTTACACAGAAGGTGACATAAGTTACTCTGTCTTGTGATTTTTTTTCTAATATATTTTGAAATATTTCCATATTAACACATTTATTCATTCCTTTTATACATTTATCATATCACAATGTACAGACATACCCCTGTTATGTTAACTAGTTCCCTGCTGATAGATATTTGTATACTCTTGTCTTCTACTTTTTACACAGAAGGTGACATAAGTTACTCTGTCTTGTGATTTTTTTCTAATATATTTTAAAATATTTCCATATTAACACATTTATTCATTCTTTTTATACATTTATCATATCACAATGTACAGACATACCCCATGTTATGTTAACTAGTTCCCTGCCGATAGATATTTTATATCTAATTTTCCCCAAATATTTATAAATTATAAATATAATTTTCCCCAAATTTTTGCTATCCACAAAGCTGTGAAGAACACTTTGTACATATGTTGCTTTGCACATATGCAATAATTTCTATAGTATAACTCCACAGAGGTAAAATATCTGGATCAAAGGATAGATCATTTTTCATTTTGATAGATTTTTCAATTGCTTTTCATAGGGAAGACAAGTAAGGTTTTGAAAAATTCTACAATATTACATATGTTGCTTTGCACATATGCAATAATTTCTATAGTATAACTCCACAGAGGTAAAATACCTGGATCAAAGGATAGATCATTTTTCATTCTGATAGATTTTTCAATTGCTTTTCATAGGGAAGACAAGTAAGGTTTTGAAAAATTCTACAATAGTATACTCATCGTTACCTATATTTGGCAAAGTACCTGGCTTAAAAGCATTCAACAAAATGCTTATTTTAGGATTGCTTTATTATTCTTCCACTCCACTTGCAATTCTTTCTTTTGAAAAGTATTAGTCTCATTACTGAGCTATATTTGTTGAGGACAAAATTATGTGAATGTAGGAAGAGAGACAGAAAATACACCCATGTGGAATCATTAAGGAAAGCATTATTCTTTAGAGGACTTGACCAATGATCCTGTAGGGTCAGACTGCAGCATGGGAGCTGAGGCTAGGTGAAGGGAGGATTGTCATGGGATCACAGGGAAGTTCTCTCTGGGGTGGTCTAGCCCTGCCAGCAGGAAAGAAGATGTTGGTACAACCTTCTGTTTAGTGGCTTGCCAGTATGGGGATCTGAACCCTTGACTTTGTGGTACAACCTTCTCTGTTAGCAGAAGTTCAAGATTTATTTGATGTCCCAGAAGTTGCTAATTTCATGACACATAGGTTTCAGCAGGCATGGGGTGACAACTCTTAACCAGCAGCAGAGGATGATGGAAATCATTCAGTCCACTGGCTGACCATCTATCTCAATGAGAAACTTGTTAAAATGATAGAATGAGAATCTCTTGGTGTAAGGACTGTGATCATATTTTTTTAAAGACTTAGAGGAAGTTTTGATCATCAGCTTGGATCAGAAAGTTTGGGTATAGTCCAGTCAATTGTCTTGTATATAAGGGAATAGAGGCCCAGGAAAGTTGTATAATTGGCTATGGTTATTAGAATTAATTCATGACAGGTCTGGAATATGAACCCAAGTCTCTCATCTCTGTTCAGGAGCTGTGCTGTCCATTCCCTGGATGACTTGGGCTGTGTGGAGTGAATTGGGGCTGGGGGGAACTAAGTAGGTAAAATCTGAACTGTTAATCCTCACTTCATCTGAAGTGTCTCCTCTCTTTTTCTGTTTTTCAAGTATGGATTCCCATATAAGACTTTTCTTAACAAATGGACACTGTGATCAAAACGTTTCAAAGCCTTTATACCAGGGTGAGAAAACAAGCAAATGAAAATCCTACAACCACCCTACCTCTGGGAGGAAGAGGTATTTGAATGGGTCCTAGCCAAGCTAGTGTCCCTGTTTCCTTTTGTGAGAGAAGGGTCTCAGGCTGGAAGGATTAGGAATGTTAGTATTTACAGAAGGTTAGGTATTTAGCGTTAATGTCCTCTTACACAGGGAATATGAGATCTTACACTCTATTTGTCATTAATGCAGCCCAGGGTTGGAAATGAGGTTAGCACTGTGTTGTGGACCTGAAAATGAAAGGTCTGGGTTTCTTGTCCCTCCTCTGCCATTTCTTAGCTGAGTGAACTTGGCAAGTTACTTCCAACACTGGTCCTAGTTTCCTAGTTGGTAGAATAAAATGGCTTAAACTAGAGAAGCCCTGTATTGTAGTGGTTCTCAACATTGGCTGCACATTGGGATAATCTGGGATGTATTAAAAATCCTGATATACTGATATGTGGGTCCCATCCACACTGAGTTTCTGATATAATTGGTCTGATATGCAGCCTGAGTGTTAGGATTTTTAAAAGCTCCCTGGTGATTCTGATGTGCAGCCAAGGTTGGTAATAACAGCCTAAAGAGAAATGGTTCTCATAATACAGTCCCCTCACCAACAGTGTCACCTGGGGACTTGTTAGAAATGCAAATTCTCAGGTCCCACCCCAGAACAATTGAATCAGAAACTCTGGGTGTAGTCCCAGAAATCTATATTTTAACACATACTCCTGGTGATTCTGATGTGCACAGAAGTTTAAGAAACATTGAGCTAGAGGGTCTATAAATGTATTAGCACAGGTGCCAATCAATCTTTAAGCTACAGCTAGGCCTGTAGTAAGAAACTTGTTCGAGGAAGGGTGAAGAAAACAGAAGCGAGGAGACAGAAAGAGCTAATCTCCCAGAGTCAGCTAAAATCTATGGTCAGAGCATTGGAAGAAGGCTGCTATTTTGTGCTTTATTGACATGTACTGTCTGAAGAAAGAAAAGGTTTGATTTAAAAATTTATAGATTACTAAATGCTTTGAACTTCCTGATAAACACATTTTTTTGGGAAAACTGATCCTCTGAAAATGGCCATCTTCATTTCTAGGAGAAAATATGAGTAAGATTATGAAAAACAAAACTTGGATCACTTTCGCTCCACCTCTGGAGAGAAGCTTAATAAACACCAGAGTTCAAGACTAAGTTCTCTGGCAGGCAGTGCCTAGAACAAGCAGGCAACTGCAAGAACTACTTTCCTGATCAGCTTTCTGGAGAAGCTGCTGGAATATACTAATAATCATAAGCACAAAGCAGGCTCTGTCTTCTCTAAACTAGACATTTTCTTCTTCCCACTCAGCCGGGGGCCATTGAGACTGCCATGGAAGACTTGAAAAGCCACGTAGTGGAGACTTCTGGAGAGACCATTCAAGGCTTCTGGCTCTTGACAGAGTGAGTAGTTACAGCCAAGACAAGGGCAGTGGAAATACAGCATTTTCCTTGACACCAGCATAACAGAATAAGGGATGGACCTGTGGTAGGATTTCTTCTGGTTGCTACGCAAGATAATCGGTTGACTTATTCAGTTAGGGAGACAAGTTTCTTGGTGTTGCATGGCTGATGATAAGACCAAATTTGACCCCCACAACTGTTTTCCAGGTTGGTCCCCTCACTCATCCATCATTAGGACTACTTAGGTCAGACCTACATCAACTCTCAAGGACTATTATAGCATCCTGACTCTCTAGTTCCAATCTCTCCCTGTTATAAACACTCTCTCTATAACCCACATTGGGCTACTGAATCATTCTGTTTCAGGTACACTGGAAAAGAAAGCTGAGAAAGAGGATAGATGAGATCAACATACATACAGTTTGAGTTTTATCTTATGTACAATCATATGAGCAGCACAACTGGAGAAAACATGCAGTATAAGGAAGACAGGCTCGCTGTTCAGAGTCAGAATAAAACCAAGTCTAACTTCAGACACTTAATGGGTTCAGTATATTCTGTTTTCTGGCTTGGTAACCCGATCACCAAATGATCTAGCAAAGAAGATCAGTGATTCCTATACTTGGAATGAAGAATCATTTAATCTTTAACCCCTGGGCAGGAGATCTTCTTTGACTAAGTCTCAGAAGGGCAGCGGCTGAATGTTTAAGCATCCAGAGCAGCAGAACAAATTCCTCAATCAGTGGGCAGTAGAACCAGATCCCCTCTGAGTCCATCCAACTGATCACCACCTTCTACTATTGTTTCAAATGGGTTCGAAGCACTGAGTGAAAATAAACTTTTGAAAATCAACATGTCTAAATTTTGAACCTTTGTTTCTTCATCCACAAAATAGAGATAATGATAAGGACCTGAAGAGTTCTTGAGAGGACTAAATGAGATAACACTGATAAGATTCTGAGCCACATGCCTAGCACGGAGTGGATTTTCAATAGCCATTAGTGTCCCTCCTCCATTCACGAGTACTAACTATTGGTAAAAGTTGTGGGGTTTTTTTTGTTTTGTTTTGTTTTTTTTGGTAACTTTGCCTTTATTTCTATCCTATTCATCTCTTTCATCATTGGGTTACCTATATGAAAAGGAAAGTCTGTAATTCAAGCTTTTCACTAATTCACTTTTACCAACCTACCCTTCATTCCCTACTCCCCACCCACAGAGTAAAATTTGACTTACGCAAATGAAAAGTCTGCCTTGATTAGGACAAATGTCTACATAGATTCTGGAGGTCCAATCAGAAGTAAATGCTCACCTAATTTGTTCCTACAAAGCATCTCACTTATAAGAATGAAGGTATAAATGTGGTTTTTTGAAATTCATTTGTGGCTGTTTTTGAGTTCTCAAATAATAGAACCAGTCATTTTAAAAATATTGCGTATTTTAATTGTTTGGTTTTATTTATACAGAAATGTGCCTTTTTTATTTGATTGTTTTTCTTCAGTGATTACAAAGACTTGTAGATATAAATATCCAAATATAAATCATATTGTGTTATCTGCATTGAAACTTAGTACCATAATTCTGTGTGCGTGATTTAACATCAACTAAAATGATTAGTAAAACCAGTAGTTTTCAGATAAATATGAACAGCTGTGCCCCAAAGACCCGATATTGAACCCAGCTCTGAACCTAATAGGAAGCTCAAAAGTTGGTAAAACTTACCTGGAAACTTGTTTTCTATTTCTCTTTGTTTTGTGGTGTCATTTAAATTAAGGACAACAATGAGGGATATATGGTGTTCACATGGAATTTCATGCAATCATGTTTGCTTGTTTGCTTTCAGACTTTGTTCCTTTGCACTTTGGAATCCACTATCTTCTTTAAATGGTAGTTTTGGGGCTTCCTCTCTGCCAAAATCTTCTAGCCCTTCTTCCTCATCAAAAGCTACTTTCAAGAAAAATTCTGATTTCAGTCATTTCTACCATAGTGAGAATTTGCCAGTATCTTTTGTTGAACCTTACAGCTGGTTCAGACATGCGTTATGCCATGGAAAAAGCTGTCACTTATAAAGAAGATGGCTCAGGCACCTAGACTAAAAGAATAAGGTTTGCAGTCAGTGTGACTGTTCAAGCAGAAGATGGGAGCCCCTATTGGCACAGGAGGAACATTCGTGGAGGCTTTCGATGACCTTTCACGTTTAAGTCACTTCATTTATTGGTTTGATTGGAGATTGTAGTACATCAGTGTAGGAAAAGGCAAAACCAACAACAGTAAAGCAAACAAACCTCCAACCTCCCAAAACAACAACAGCAAAACTCTTCCCCCAAAACAACAAAAAAACCACACACACAAAAAAACACTAAACTAAACAAACGCCTTTTCACCTGAAAGGTGAAAGCCTGGGCCTACTCCTACCCCCTTGCCTCTTTTTTATAATGGAATGACACCCGTACATTCAGTTCTTATGAATTACAGGAACTGTGATATAGACCAACTCCCCTAACCCCACCAACCACACAGGACCCTCTTCAAGCAAGACGCTTTTGTGTGTGACAGAAATGACTGGGCTTTATGGACATTCATCTTCACCTTTTTCCATGGAGATGAGACACCCTCGACTGCTAATCTAGCAATCTGAAGCGTGTCTGCTTTCAGACAGGGATTCCAGTTTCAGAATGATGAGAGTAAAAGCCCCCTAATGTATACAGCACATTGCAAAGAATTTTCACATCCATCAGCTTGCTTTGTCTTGCTGATTTGGGGAACAAGAAGTAGCCAGATAAAGAAGTGATAGAGCAAGGAATATGGACTGCACCCCTGAATTAGCCTTGAGACTGATGGGTTCTAATTCTTTCCCAAAGGGTCTAAGATGGAGGTGTGGGATGACTGATGAGCTCAACTCAATCTTTAGTCATGGTTGCTCAGACTCCTAGAAATAGTTTGATGTAGGAGAACAAGGTGGGGAATTGTTAAGAGACTGAAGTACTAAAGGGCCTTGTGCGTAATATTAAACAACTGAGCTTCTATCCCATAGGTGATGGGGAGGCATCAAAGGGTTGAGAAAGTGAGACTGTATTTACAATTAATGAAAATCACTATAGGTTCACAATCCCTTATCCAAAATCCTTGGGACCAGAATTGTGAATTTTTCAAATTTTAGAAAGGCAAAACAATGCGTATACTGTTTGTTTTCTGCCTCAAGTGGACTTGTAGGACAACCCCCCCCCCCACCAAATAATCAAATACATTAACGTTTTTTGAAGGAAACAGAAATCATGTGCTATTCAAAATCGGGTAATTAAAACTGTAAATGGCCTCATGTTGGTTCATATTTGGTTGTATCATAAAATGAGTTTGTACCACATTTGCCATCTTCAGAGGTTTGTTGAATCGGAATGGTAGATAGGGGGTTGTTATCTGTACATGTTTGAAATGTGAAGAATAAATGAATGGCTGGGAGGTTGGATGGCAGGTTAGATACTTGTCAATATCAGTGAGGGTCTGATCCAGGGGTCTGCTGGAGCTGATTTGGGCTAGCTCATAAGAGGCAACTGGTAAAATTTCAGGAATTTTGAGAACCAGCTGTTAATTATTAACATTAACATTAAATTCTATAAATTTTTTATCAAATTTAAAACAAAACTAATGTATTCAAAACTCTCCACTTTCTATTTTGTTTTGTTTTGCTGTAATGCATGCTCTTGGGGTCGTTTACACCAGTTATGCTTGTATAATGAAAATCGTATATGATGGTGTGCTACTGCACATTCCTTTCCAATTCCACATTCAGTGATATCATGTTGGTAGCTTGAAATAAGCTATGGTGGCAACATTTACACCATGGATATTGGCAAACGCTATGGATCAAAACTTGATTACTTGATTTCTTGATTTATTGTTTCACTGATTGCATGAACTTAAGAAAATCATGGAAAGTATGTTAACAATGCAGATTAAACTTTAAAGTGTGTCATAACTGTAGCTTTTACATGGTAGCAACACAGAAAAAATTGAGGACATATTATTCTAACACTGAAAACCTATTACCCAATTCAGTAGAAAGTCACTGTTTTCACTGGTAATGGATAAAGCCTGGACAGGCAACTATGGAAAAGTTACTGCAGCCAGGCAGAGGCTGCAGGTTTGCAGAGAGACTGTGTTCTGGACTCATGGCTGCACTGGCTGTTCTCACATCCACCTTGATGACCCTCGGCCCGAGCTGGAAATTATAAAAAGTCTCTTTTTCCTACAATATCCCTTTGTTGTCCTCTACTGCAGAAGATTAATATGGTGCTCATTTTAAAGGAGAAATACTAAAGGGTATTCCATTGTTTATCATAGAGCATATATCAAAAGGTGCAATTGGAGCTGAGAAGCAAAAATTAATAACTGACATAGCTGGGCTTTGTGAATTTTTGTGTTTAATTGTCTGTGTGGAAAATCCACTGTACCTTTTGGGTTTGGCCTGGGAAACTGGTGGGTTGACTGAGCCACCATTCCAAACTTAGAAGGAAATGATAATTCTACTTTATTGAGAAACTGCTATATGACAAACATTATAAAAAGAACTTTGTGCACATAATCTCACTTAATTCTCCCAACAGTCTTGCCATTTACCTTCTACAGAACTTGTTGAGTACATTTTTGGAAAAAATGTGTCTGAAGTGTTCATATAGCATCCACATGGAGTTGTTGAGCAGGTAGTTTTAAATATGGGTCCAGATACTATCTTCAAAAGTAGTTTTTTAAAAAGGACAATAATTCTGACAGGCTTGTTTCTTAAAGTAGTGCCTTCTATAGAAGCTAGGAGCATTAAAAAAAAGAAACAAACATTAAGTCAGTAAAACCATTTTCCTAGGGATATCACCCAAATTAATTCAGGTGAGCTACTTTGTGATCTTCTAATTTGATATGGATATACTATTCAGTAAATTAGGAAAATGAGTTTGAAGGCACTTGGGAAGAGGACACAGAGAGAATGGACAGAGAGGCCAAGAAGGGGA